CCGTGGCGCGTGCAGGTGTCTCACTGGCGATAATACTCGAGGCTTATTTGAAAGCGCACGATAGCGAGGCTCCGAACTGCAAGGAAAGTCACGTATCAAGCGTCTGCAGTGTTGGAAAGTTTGAGAAACGCTAGCCAACATTCCAGCAGCCACCAGGAATCTGTCTGCCAGTTAGTCGCGCTGTTCCCTCACCTTTGACTCCCGCGAGCCCGTATCTACGTTTCCATTTCCTCTCCGTGTCCTTGAGCGCGGTCCTTATTTCCTCTCCTCCAGTGTCGAGATCCTCGCGCCGGAACTGGTAGATGTACCATTGGCGCAAGCCTTGAGGAAAAAGAATGCTGGTTGGATGATTTGCGGCGGTTAGTTTCACTCGTTACGCGACGTAATTAAAAATTGTGATGAATTTTTCTTTTTATATCTCGTACGAATGATATACAAGGAATTCAGCATAACTGTGTCAATGACAGTGAACAATTTGAACTGACATAACTTCGTGAAAGAAGATCGTGCAACGATTCAGGAAAAGGAGGACACTTTTTTCTGGAAAATTGTTCTAGAAAATCTTCTTCGTAACTGGATTCATCGTCGAAGACTGAAGTCCTTTACAACTAAGACCCCCTAAAATTTTTTATACGATTCATTTTCGACATTCTATCGAACGTTGATTATCAAAGTTAAAAGAATTCAAGAAACCCTGACATCAATAAAGTGGTAAAAAAAAAAAAAAGAAAAAAATCGTACAGCGAATTCTGAAGACTCGTTGTAAAGAAAGAATTTCAATTCTTAAAATCGCAGTATAACTTAGTTGTAAAAGAATTTTTTTAATATTTCCAGACGAATTTGAATTTGTACAATTTTCAAGAGAAAAGCCTGCTCGCATAATGTAGTCGTCATCAGAAGAAAAACAAACTCATACTTTAAAATGAGAGCAAATGGATCGTATCACATGATCTGTTTTCTTTACGAAGTTATGTAAGTTCAATATTGTTCACAATTTTCCATTGTCATTTATACAGCTATGCTCTACATTGTAACAGGAATGTTGAAGTTCAAAATACAAAAATTCACACAGAGATGTTATTTCAAGAACAATTCTAAGAACAAATAATAGGACGTTTAATCGTGACAAAGGAATATGACAGAGCAACTAATTTGAAAGGAATTTTGCGACTCTAATAGAACGATTTAAAGTTTCGAAGAGTAATTACAATAACAACGTGATCGAAACCATGGCCACCTATGATGTTAATTACGTTAAAAGATCGAATTGATTACAGATTGAAACCACGACGAACGTGATTCTCGAACGCTTGCCTTTATAATTCAACTGTATCGAAGTAAAACTTGCGGAAACTCTCACGGTTAGCCCGCTATAATATCACGCTGGTAATTATTCAGCTTGTGCGTTATCGCTCGTCGAAGCGAAACTCTGGTTTCCTAAACACACGTTGTTCGTCTCAACATTCGCGATCGCGACGACAAGGTCTCCCTTAACCCATCCGAATACGATTAACAATCCTCTTACCTTTATCAAAGATCGACGGGGGATTTCCTTCGGATTCGTCGTGACCAGCCGGATTCCTCGTCGAACTCGGCGAACTCGGGGAAACTCTAACCCCGTCCCCTCATTTATTCACCCTCGTATCTCCAATTACCGGCGTAGCCCGGTACAGTTAAACTTATTCCATAGGATTCCTTTTCAATACAGCACAACGGCCCATTGTTCCTTGCTTTCACCATTGTGTCATTCGCGCCAGCGTTACGTTTATAACCTTGTACATGACCCGGGCCTCGTTCGTAAGGTCGAACTTCTCAAACCCGCAGGGAAACCTAGCTTCCTGGTTATCCGCCGATTTCTCTTCCGTTCTTTTCGATCCGACAGTCTGTCTCACACATACGTACAAAAAAAAAAAAAAAAAAA